GAATTTTAAATTCTGTTCTGCATTTTCCCCCTGTTGATCAGATTCTTCTATAGAATCTTTGATCAAAATGTTCAGAAATAGTAGCCAGGTACCATCCAGTTCTTCTGGTCTCATGGCAAAGGGGTCAGTTGTTCATGGAGGCCATTGGCCACACATTTGATTTCCTTCTCCTATTCCTGACTCTCCTTCTTCCTTGGTTGCTGCAGGCGAACGGAGACCAATTGTGCCTTGGATGGCTGCTTGCAAGCTTTTAAGACCCCAGGCACTATGCAGCAAACTAGGAGGTAGAACAGAAGCACTCAACACGATTATTAGGCCAATTAATTGAGATGTCTCATGAAATCATGACCCCATGCCTCCAAACCAAAGAACCATAATCCTGTGAGGTGTTTGGTTATACATAAGCAGGCTCAGCAGCTGCTGTTTCTTTTTTTTTTTTTGGTCATTGTTTTAAATCTATGTAGCACACAACTTTTGCAAATTCAGCTCTTTACAGGTGTACAACTTATTGAAAGCAGTTAGAGTAATTGGTGGGTACAGCCTCGTTTGTGATTTTTTGATTACTGTCTCACTCCCCATTAGACAGTAAGTGTGAATGGAGCCTGTTTCTGCTCACTGACACAGCGCACAGTATATAAGAGGTGATCAGTAAATACCTGTTGAATGATTACATGAATAATGACTTCCGGGTGGAGAATCCCTAGAAGAGAGGGTACCTTTTGTGATGGCCCTTGAACAATTGTAAGGAGTTAGACCAGTACTGTTAGAAGGTGGAGGTGTGAGTGGTTTGAACAAGGTTTCTGGAAAGAAAACAGGTAACACCCTTAAAACATCTAGCTCCGTAAGGAATTGGAAGGGAGGGGTGGGAGTAAGTAAGAATGGAAAAAAAGTTTGGAAGCGGTTCTTGAAGAGCTCTAAGTGATTACGTATGTAACTAAAAAAGTGACTTCCTTTTTTAATTTTTTAAACTCATAGGAGGAAAAAGCGACTGGCAGAAACAGCTCACTGTATCTGCCCTTTGTCCTTCCCTTCCTTCTCCTATGATGTGAGCGCCATGATGGGGATTTCTAAGTCATCTTCAAGATTAAACTCTCTCAGATACTCCCCCGTAAACAGTTGTACAGACTCCATATTAGGTCTGCTCTGTAAATGTTCCCACATATTTCTGTGTCTGACGGTTTAAGAGGCTTCTCTGTGCCATGTGGTGACTGTAGGGTGTGGTCAAGCCAGAACTCAGGGAAAACTGGACAGTTCAGCACACAAAACTATGTTGATTTCTTTTTTTTCTCTGAAATTAAGGGAAATAGTTACTTTTTCACTTTTTTTTAGTCCTGGAATTTTCTTCCTGCAGAATGTCATAGTAGAAAGAGCAGTGTACTTTAAAATCAGAATTGGGTTCACTTTCTGACTGTGTCACTTGTCTATATAACCTCGAAAAAATTATTTATCATCTCTGAGCCTTAAGTTCTTCATCTTTACAACCTCATTAAAAAAGAAATTGCAAGCGTAAAGCACTTGTCACACTGCCTGGCCTTCAATAAGTACACGCGCATTTTGTTCCTTCAGAGCTTCCTTTATTTCTCTGTTCCAGTGTCTTGTAGTTTTCACTTTATTCCAAACGTGCACTTATCTTTTACAATATTTCTTGTGTCCTTTTTTCTCCATTCCCCAAACCAGTGTGTGTGTGTGTGTTAATATGGCATGGTATGAACACTTTGGGAGATATCCTTGTGGCGCAGTGGTTAAGTGCTAACCAAAAGGTCGGCAGTTTGAACCCACCAGCCGCTCTGCTGGAGAAAGCTGTGGCAGTCTGCTTCCATAAGGATTTATAGCCTTGGAAACTATGGGGCAGTTCTACTCTGTCCTATAGAGTCGATACAAGTTGGAATCGACTGGATGGCAACAGGTTTTCACAGAGTATTTTCTGTTATGAAAATGTTTCTGCAGTAGAAATGGACTAGTTTGGTTCTTACTGGGATTTGGAATAAATCTTTTAAAAAACTGAATTCCGGAATGGGGAAATAAATGCTGAAATGAAAGTATGTTGCTTATTGAAGTATTTTTTGGACTAACTATTGTATAGTTAAGATTTTTACGTCTTTGTGCGAATGTTTTTCAGGTATACTCAGAAGATGGCCGACTCTTGGCAGGAATGCATGGATTATGCGGTAACCCTGGCAAGACAAGCTGGAGAGGTAGGAACTGAAATGCCTTGTCAGCCTTCACGTTATGGATGTGTACAGTGTGAGGTTGCCTTGTTAAATACAACACACATTTTGATTAATCCTCATTTGTTTTCATGCTTTAAATGGAATGAATACTCCAGAAAAATATTTAGCTATATGTCAATGAAGGAGTCCCTGGGAGTTGCAAACAGTTAAGTACTCTGCTTCTAACTGAAATATTGGTGGTTCACATCCACCCAGAGGTGCCTTGCAAGAAAGGCAAGGTGATCTGCTTCCCAAAGGTTACAGACTTGAAAACCACATGGAGTACAGCTCTAGTTGGAAACACACGGGCTCACCGTGAGTCAGAACTGACTTGACAATCTTTTGTTTTTATGTCATTGGAAACTTTTTGTGATGACAGTTGTGAATCTGAAATAAGATGTAAGATTATATAATTTGAAACCTAGGAGGCCATGAGCGCTAAAGGATTATTTTATAGATATTGTGGCAAGACATTTTAAGAATATCCTTTAAGGTAGGTTCAATGTTGAAACCATTTCTGTATTTCAGCTTTTAGTTTGATTTAAAATTACTTACGTCTTTTCTATTTGCTTACCAAAAAATCTTTTTAGGTGGTTCGTGATGCTCTGAAAAATGAAATGAATGTCATGATTAAAAGTTCTCCGGCTGATCTGGTGACTGTAACTGACCAGAAAGTTGAAAAAATGCTCATCTCTGCCATAAAGGCAAAGTATCCATCGCACAGGTATTTGTTGTTACAGTTTCAAATTGATTACATGAAACCTGAGTGAAGCCAGTGTGTTAGACAGTAATCTTCATTCTATACACAGAAACTCGGTGTTGGTAACTTAAGCTGCAGAGGAATTTATCTGGAGGTGTGGGCCGTTCAGGAACCTTGAGACCCAGGCTCAGGCAGGAGTCATGGGAGAAAGACACGCGGATAGCTGCTCCCGCAGCCATTGCAGGAAGCCACTGGTGGCCCCGTGGCCTCCCTCTTGATGTGTTGAATGTTTCCTGACTAGCCTTATACCTTTATGTCATTAACTCAAGATTCCAGGTCCTTGGTAGGAATATCTGCTTGCTGAGTTGAGGTTGTTTGCCCACGCTGCCGGGAGCAGGGAAGAGGGAATGCTTGGATTCCTTTGTAATAAGGGAACGTTAGGATGCTGGGCAGCCAGGGAGACAGATGGCTGCTGTAGACAGGATGCAGATGTTCAGTGTTGTTCTTTATCTTGCAAACTGCTAGATGGTTGAGTGCTGGTAACTTCAGAGAGTTTAAGCAAAAGCACTCACGTCAGGGCTGTCTTACAGGCATGCAGATACAGCAGAAACATTGTCATTACTTGAAAGCTTTGTTGTTGTTAGCGCTGAGTCAGCTCGGACTGATGGTGACCCTTTGTGCAGCAGAACCAAACGTTGCCAGTCCTGCACCATCTTCACAATCGTTGATACGCTGAGTCCGTTGTTGTGGTCCCTGTTTATCTTGAGTGCCTTCTAATCTAGGGGGATCATCTTCCAGCACCATAGTGGGCAGTATTATGTTGCTTTCCATTGGCTAATTTTAGGAAGCGGATCACCAGGCCTTTCTTCCTAGACTGTGTTAGTCTGGAAGCTCCACTGAAACCCGTCCACCATGGGTGATCCTGCTGGTATTTGAATATAAGTGGCATACCTTCCAGCATTACAGCAACACACAAGCCCCCAGGTACAACATACTGACAGACAGGTGATGGTTTAAAGTTCTGGCACTATCATTTTCTACTTCTTGCTAGCGTGCCCAACTCTTTTTAGTCATTGAGAAGAAAAAATGTCTAAAGTTATGGCTAATTATACTTCCTCCCAATAAAAAAGTTTGTAGCTAAGAGAAAAAGATAAAAGAAGATTGTGATAACAATTATGAGGACAGTTCAGTGTTGAATAAAGGAAAGGAGAAAACCAGTGAACTGAGATACCGTTTATAAAATGTGCGTATGATTTACTGCATAGTGTGTTTTAGGGAGGCATGTAGAAGCAGAGCAGCTTTGGTGAGAAATTCGCCTTCTCAGTTGACTTGTGTTCACATTTACTTAATGTTCTCTGTGTTGTCTGTTGCTGCATAGCAAATTACCCTAAACACTCAGCAGCTTTAGGAATATTTCTCATCTGCAACAAAGGCTCTTTTTAGGGGTGTGTGTGTGTGTACACACACATCTTTGTTTTTGCTTACCCTGGTATTACTGCATTTTAGAATTTTGAATTCTGTTATTTTCCACATGATTTTGCTCTGGGGGAAATAAAGTGTACTCACTTTTATGAGTCTTTATAGGAAGAAAATAAGGGCAACAATAGAGAAGTGTAGTGTACAGGCTTTTGTTATGTTTTATAGTAGACTGTGTAGTTAAGGAAACGTTAACAGTTTGCAAATTGTTGAAAGCAATGTAAAGACTGGGAGTTTGTCATTCTTGCTTTTAGTTTCATTGGTGAGGAGTCTGTAGCAGCTGGGGAAAAAAGTATCTTAACTGACAACCCCACGTGGATCATTGACCCTATTGATGGAACAACTAACTTCGTACATAGGTATGTTTTTAACATTTTAATATTACAATTACTGTTTATATATTTACCAGATGGACCGTTAGAGTACCCTGTTCAGGAACATAAACGTTCTAGAGAATTGTGTGACTTGTTTACCATATTTTTACGCACATAAAGTGTGCCTTCTATGTTTGTTTGCCAACCATGCGCTCTCTCCACAAGATCTTTTTGTAAGTGTGCTATACTAATTTTTTTTGCTGTAGAAAAGATTAGCATAGTGTACTTACAAAAATACCTCATGGAGGGAGGGCTCAGTTGGCAAACAGATGTAGAAGGCGCACGTTATGTGCGTAAAAATACAGCATGCTTCTTTAGTCTAAGAAAGTGTGTAGAAAATATGATAGAGCAAAATGTATCATGCAGAATTTCTGCTGGATATGGGGGAGGAGGAGAAATACTAATATGGAGTTGTCATATCTTTTAAATGTGGAACGATGCTCATGTATTGTAACCTAAGAGAAGAATATAATAGTCTGTACAGTATGATCCCTTTTTGTTACATTGATACCTCAGTACTAAATATTTTTTTCAAAAGCTTTTATTTTCAATAGTTACGTTGAACCTATTTTGTGCATTGTCTTGACCTTGATTCTGTTGTAAATCATAAATTACAATGTGTTCAAACTGCCACGCAGCCATAACAGTTAACTGTGACTAACAGTTTCCTTTTGTGGTGCGAAGCTCCAAGTTTTGTGTTGGAGAAGGGACAGGTAATCCTTTCTGTAAAATTCAGACCTGTGTTTATCCTGGGCCTTGCCTGTGAGTGGAATGATCACAAAGAAAAAGAATTTTATTTTTTCCATTCTGCTCAATAGTATGAAATGAATTTTAAAAATTTTTTTAATTTATATTTTTGAAAAAAACCCACAGCAATCGAGTCAATTCCAACCCATAGCAACCCTCTAGGACAGAGTGAACTACCCCATAGCGTTTCCAAGGCTGTAATCTCTATGGAAGCAGACTGCCACGTCTTTCTCCCATGGAGCGGCTGGTGGGTTTGAACTGCTGACCTTTTGGTTAGTGGCTGAGTGCTTGACCACTGCACCAGCAGAGCTCCATTTTTTTGTTTTTTGAAAAAAGTGTTTTTAGATAGTATATGCACAGGGTTGACATTCAAGAGCTATAAAAATCGTATGCAGTGCAGAGTGTCCTTCCCGGTTCTGTCCCCAGTTTCCCAGTGCCCGTCTCTGGAGGTGACTGTTGTGGTCAGTTTCTTGTCTGTCCTTTCTGAGATGTTCACGCTGGGAGAAGCAGCCTGTGCGTACGTGTGTACCTGTGTCGTGTGTAACCCAAAAAGAGTTCCTGTCAAGTCAACTCTGACTCATGGCAGCTCCGTGTGTGCTAGAGTGGAACTGTGCTCCATAGCGTTTTCAGTGCTGATCTTTGGAAGTAGATCGCCAGGCCTTTCTTCCAAGGCACTTCTGAGTGGACTGGACCCGTGACCTTGTGGTTAGCAGCCAAGCACGTTAACCGTTTGTAGCAGCCAGGGACTCCATGTATGTATGTATCTCCCCTTTCTTTATACAAATGGCCACATACTGTATACAGTATTCTTTGTCTTGATTTTTGGGGAGAGAAAGGGTGAGAATTCACATGCAGTTGTGAAAAGTTTTGTAAAAAATCTTATTATGAAAAAATATAAATATTGAAAAAAATTTTCTTTTTTTTTTTTAAGATTTCCTTTTGTAGCGGTTTCTATCGGTTTTGTTGTAAATAAAAAGGTATGTTGTTTAAAACTTATGGTTGGTAATATGCCTTGCTGTCATTTACTGTAAAAAAGTAAATGTGTCTTCATAATAAATTTAGATTTGCCTCTATATTCAATGTATATAACTGCATTATTTCAAATATAAGTGACTGGACTGTTAAAATTATCATGACACTTTTTCCAGGGAAAAAAACGTAATATTTTCTGAGAAACAGGAATTCTAAGGAGAAAATACATATGAGTAACTGACATACAAGTCAGTATTTAATCACCATTATATAAGTGATAGAGTCAGATGTTATAGGACCTCAAGTGTGATCTGAAAATGCTCAGTGGAAGAGATGGAGTTTGAGCTAGGAATGCTTCTTGGAGACATCTAAGACCAGGAGGTGGCAGGGGCCAAAGCGTGGTGGGAAAGTGTAGAGGGTGTTCAGGAATCTGGAAATGATTGTACACTCATTATCTAAAGCCCATAAAAAACCAGTTGCTGTCGAGTCGATTCCGACTCATAGCAACCCTGTGGGACAGAGTAGAACTGTCCCATGGGGCTTCCAAGGCTGTAAATTTTTATGGAAACAAACTTCCAGGTCTTTCTCCCACTGTGTGGCTGGTGGGCTTGAACCAGTGACCTCTAGGTTAACAGCCACGCACTTTAACCACCATGCCATCAGGGCTCCTTCTCTGAAGCCCAGTAGAGTAAAATCTGTAGCTGTTGTTTTTCCTTGCTGTCCGGCTGTTCTACTGGTCTCACAGTGAGCGGTGTTCACTAGCATATACCTGTCTTCAAAGAGCTCCTGATGTATTTGATTACCACGTATACAAGACAGTTAGGAAATCTCTGAAAATAAAAACACAAATTAACACAGATGAAAGCTTAACCATGGCATGGTGTTGAGTGAAAACTTCCTAAAGGAGGTAATTGAGCGTGTAGCATATAGTCAGCCCTGGGCTGTGTGTTGTCCCTGCCCTTCACCTCACAGCTGAGTGCAGAAGTCAGATGTGTAAACAGGTGAATGAAAATGTGATGAACTGTGAGAGGAAAAAAAAATGTTGTGGGAACCTAGCAGAGAGTGTAACTGATTCTTTCAAGAGTGAATCGGGAAAAAAATCTTCATAACATTATGGGTCTTAGAAGTTGGTGATTTGAGTTGAGGCTTAGAAAATTAGAGTTTTGCCAGATAAAGAAGAAAAGAAAAGCATTTTAATCAGAAAGAAGAGTTTGGAGAAGTTGAAGAGCCCAATATGCGTAGGGAACAGTGAGTAAAGGACTGGAGGTGGCAGGAGCAGAGGCGGATGAGGGAGGTTAGTTGTGGCAACATCGTGAGGCATTGCAGCCTACCCGTGCCATGAAATTGAGACGTTGTTGTTGGGCAGTAGGCATACAGACGAGATTTTTAAGTGGAGATTGCTGTATAATCTCTGCAGTGTAGAGATTATACTGGAAGGGGTGGGGGAGCAGTGGTTTTGAACCAGAAGGGGCGGTGAGCATAGCTGAGTGAACGCCAGAATCAGGAAGTGTTTGAGATAAAGAGTGAAGGAGGAAACTTGTGGGAAGAAATGAGGCATGAGCAGTTGAATTTGCAGACTGGAAAGAACTAACGTGTAAGAATACAGAGAGCTAAAAGGGAAGTGGAAGAAGGAAAAAACCTGCAGTTGCACAATTTTTTTTTAATTTTTTCCCATACAAAAATTTCTACATACATTGTTATGTGACTCTAATTGCTCTCCCCATACTGTGACAGCACACTCCTCCTTTTCACCCGATTCCCCGTGTCCATTCAGCCAGCTCCTAACCCTCTCTACCTTCCCATCTCACCTCCGGACAGAAGCTGCCCGATTAGTCTCTTGTGTCTACTTGAGCTAAGAGGCACACTCCTCACGAGTATCCCTTTATGTCCCACAGTCCAGTCCAATCCCTGTGTGAAGAGTTGGCCTCGGAAATTGTTTTAGTTCTGGGCTGATAGATAATCCAGAGGCCATGCTTTCTGGGGTTCCTCCAGTCTCAGACCATTAAGTCTGGTCTTACTAGAATTTGGGCTCTGCACCCCACCTTTCTCCACCCGGGACTCTATTGTGTTCCCTGTCAGGGCGGTCATTGGTGGTAGCTGGGCACCATCTAGTTCTTCTGGTCTCAGGCTGATGAAGTCTCTGGTTTCTGTCTCTTGGGCTGCTACTTTTCCAAGTTACACAATTTTAAGAGCTAGACAGAGAAGATTCTAAAACAATGAGACCACGATGGATTTAGTGCGTGAGGTAGGAGAACTAAGAGAGTGCTGCTGAAGCATGGGGTACTGAGTAAAGTGTTGAAGACGTAGGTGACAGTCAGCTCTTCGGGGAGGCATTTGGTCAGTCAGAGTTCATTGGTCATCTCCGTGAGGGGGCTTCAACAGCATGAGTGGTCGAGGCGGGGGCCAAATTATAATGCGTTACGAGGAGACTAGAGGTGCAGAGTGTAGACTGCTGTTTGGCAGAGAAGGGAAACAGAGAGGATAGCATCTTGAAGGGATTAGAATTATGGAGAGATTTTGTAAGGAGAGGAGACGTCTGAAGGGAAGGTACCAGAATTGAAATCCGAGAGAAGAAGGATCAATTGATGGAGCAGTTTTTCAGTGTGTGGGAGGGTAGGACTCATCACACGGGAAGAAGGTTCACCCTGGAGAATAGGAAAGCTCTGTTTTCTTCTGAAGCAGAAGGAAGAGAGGTTTAGAATTGGACGGGAGGGAGAATGAGGATTTCCAATCTGATGACCTCTTTCCTCTGATTAGGCTGGAAATGAGCATTTGAGGTATCCCACAGGTTAGCCCCTCGAACACATTATTATTAGTCAGTATACCGGATTTTCACGTTCCTTTCTTAGGAACAGTATTGGTTTAATGAAGAGCGATTCTCAGGTTTGGTAAAGGAAACGTGTTTCTTTCTGCAGATGGAGTTTGGAGTTGTGTACAGCTGTGTGGAGGACAAAATGTATACCGGCAGGAGAGGACACGGTGCCTTCTGTGACGGTCAGAAACTGCAGGTTTCACAGCAAGAAGGTGGGCGTAGCCTCTGCTTTCCGGTTCGGTTGTTACTGAACGCTCTTACTGTGTGTTTTTATAACTTAGGAAATTCTCCAGATGTTAACTGATCGCTAAGTTGTGTCTATTTTCTTCATTTTTTGTTTTGAGCTCAGCTTTGAATGTAGTTGTTACCAGTTGCTGTCAAGCCTGCTCTGACTCAGGGTGACCTTACGCAGAGCAGGACGTCCAGTCCTGTACTGTCTTCACAGACGTAGCAGTGGAAGCAAATGAGGCTCAGCAAACATTTCAGGCTCAGCACTGTGCTGGGCGTAAGAAGATGAACTAGATTGGCTCCCTGCCCTTGTGGAGTTCATGAATTACTGTTGCAGCCATTGCGTTTCAAATTCTTCATAGATTCCTCTTATCCGATACCACTGGGACCAATTAAAATATAGTAAACTGAAGGAAGAAAAAAGTTAGTTCAAGCTAGGAATCATTAAAAATGATTAAAAAGTGTACATATGCATTTTTAATGAGCTAGATGATTGGAGTTTTAAGCCTTCTTTCTGTGTGGCAGCTGATTGAAGTTTTGAGTTCCCCTTCTTGTATAAACCACATCTAACATTTTCTGCTTTGCCCTTTATCCATGTTCAAGTGCCGCAAGAACTTAAACTTCCAAAACAATCTGCGTTCAGAAGCCTGTTAAAATTTTACACGTCCGCCCCCTTCATTTATAGTTGTTAATTTGAGAGCAGATTTTTAGTTCATTACTTTTTCGTTGAACTCCAAGACCCCAATGATTGGAAGATACATCCTCATTACAGAGATGTTAACATGTGAGAAATGGACATCTTTGAATTGAGAGAACGTGGTAGCATTCATTGAAACAATTCTTTCCCTCTTTAGATCCTTTTTTTTTTGCTTTACATAATATTTAATTAAATTGTGTAATGGTTAGAAGAAGTACAACCGCTGTAAACATGTTTGGGAGCACGCACAGCTCGTAAGCATGCATTTCCATTGGTGAGAACAGATGAAGTGTGGAGGTTTATACTAAGAGCAGCCTGTTGCCGAGAGTGCTGATTGTCACGAGGTTCGGTCACAGAGTTTCAGACGAGTGGAGAGCACTGAATAATCTAGGTTTGTAAATGGAGGTCAGATAAGAGAGCTACCACTGAATTTTAACTTTATTTGAAGCAGTACTGCTGCATTATTCCAAATCTACAGATAAATGATTTATTGAATTCAATTTCTAGATTCTACTTTTTTATATTTAAGGTATTTGCTTGTTGCCTACTAAAGTTTTTATGTATGCTGGTAAATCAGTTACATTCTGCACTGTTTTGGGGATGGTCTAGGAAGCTAGCCTCTTTGATGAATGTAGAAATGATCACCTGGAGATAATATATTTATTAGTATCCTTATATTTAAAGGCTGAGAAAGAAACACATTTGATAAAACTAGGAAGAAGATAAAAATGCTCTCTTTTATTCTGAATTACAAATGTTAAAATTTCCCACAGACTTCCATTTATTAAAAGTTAGTGATTATTTAAAACATTTTCTTTTAGATATTACTAAATCACTCTTAGTGACAGAATTGGGCTCTTCCAGAACACCAGAGACTGTCAGAACTGTCCTTTCTAATATGGAAAAACTTCTTTGCATTCCTGTTCATGGGTAAGCTCTTTTCATTTCCCACCTAAAGCTACAGATGATTTAATACTTAAGAGGGATAAATTTGTCCTTAGAAATGAACTTTTTATTAACAGATGTGGGATGGGTAACATAATTCTAACTTTATAATGTAACTTTTAAATTTTGTATTTGAAAATAATTGAAAACTTACAAAAAATTGCAGAAATAAAACAGGATAAAGAATAATAGTATATACTTGACCCAGATTCACCTTTCACATATTGTTAACATTTTACTCCATTTGTTTATCATTTTAGTGTATGTTACCGTGCTCTCTCTCTCTGTGTACATATATACATTTTTCCCCTAAATCATAGCTTTTTACCCCTAAATACGTCCGGTTTCTATTTCCTAAGAATAGGGATATTCTCTTCTATAACCGCAGTACAGTTACTGACTTCATAAATTTACTTTTTATCTAATCTAGTATCTGTATTCCAATTTTGTCAGTTGATCTAATGATGTCCTTTATAGAATTTTCCCTCCTCCCGTACAAGATTCAGTCAAGGGTCAGGTGTTGCATTTAGTTGTCGGATCTCTTTAGCTTCCTTTAATCTGGAACATTTCCACAGCCTAAGACATTACGCATTGCCTTTAGGTTTTCAAATTTATTTGTGTAGAGATAGATGTATGAGGTAGTCTCGTGATGTTTTTTAGATTCCTCTGTGTGAGTTATCTCCCCCTTGTCACTTCTTACTGTACAAACTTGTGTTTTCGCCGTCTTCTTTTTTTTAATCTTCATTAAATTAGCCAGTGCTTTGTCTGTTCTGTTTTTTCAAAGAACGAGGATTTTAATTTATTAAATAATTTGATCTTCTGTGGGTTTATTTTATTGTTGTTCACTTTCTTTTTCTTTTTGAGTGGAGAATTTATTTTCTGTTTTTGATTTTTATTGACCTAGTATTTAGGGCTATGAATTTTCATCTGTTCACTGCTTTAAATGTATCCCATAGATTCTGATATGTAGTATTTTGATTGAATTAGTTTTCATAAATTCTGTAATTTCTATTTGTATTTCCGCTGTAACCAAACAGTTGTACTCTTTAATTTCTGAGTAGATGGGTCTTTTTTCCCTCTATTTCATTTTTAATTTGTAGTTTTATTGCATTTTAATATTTCTACTTTATGGGACTTACTGATGTGTTCTTTATGCCCAAGTATACGATTAACTTTTGTGAAAGTTCCATATACGGTGAAGAAAGGTAGTCTCTGCTATCACGATGTAGAATATTCGTATATAGCCAAAAGATATACCTTATTATGTTGTTTAGTTTTTTGGCTACTTGACCTGTTTCATATTGACAATGATGTGTTAAAATCTTCTATTATTAGTATATGTCTATGTATTTCTCCTCGCAATTCTTGTAGCTTTTATTTTCCGTGTTGTTGTGTGGCCTTGAGTCGATTCTGATGGGGGATTCTGTGTTATTTGATGCCTGTATGTTTCTAACTGTTGCACTTTCATGGTATGATTTTAACATTATAAAGTACCTTTTGTCGTGGTTATTGCTTTTTGTTTGTGTCTGCTTTGCTAACAGGAGTACAGTCCCTGCTTTCCGACTGTTGCCATTTGCCTGGCAAACCTTGATCCACCGGTTTCAGCCTTTTTCAGTCACTGTGTTTTAAGCATGTCTTTTGTATACAGCATAGACTAGATTTGCTTTATAAGCCAATTTGAAAATATTTTTGTTTTAATAGACAAGTTAGACCTATTCGTTTATTGGTGTGACTGTTGCGTTTGGTCTGAATTCTGTCATAACTTAATTGGCAGTTACGGCATGTGCTGTAGTTACTGTGGTTATTTGGTGAATCATCTCTGCTTTTTAAAAAAATTTCTTTCGGTGTTTATGAAAGTTTAAGTTTTATCCTAGCAATTTTTTGATTAAAACTTTTTCTGTTGCCCTTAATTATCTCTTTTCTTACTTAACCTTTTACTGTCTTTTAAGGTTCTAGAATTCTTTGACTTCTACCTGTTGCCTGTATAATAGTCAGTGATTTTATTTTCCCCTTTTTCTCCAATTTTTTTGTTGCATTCTTTCTACGTTGTCAGAACATATCATTTTTACGTACTATTATTCAACTAAGCCCTTTGGTCTTAGTTCTACAGTGGACTCTCTGAAGTGCTCACAGCATTGTAGGTAGTCACTTGTAAGTTTTTTGAAGTTTCCCAGTCACGTTTTGATTGGATGAAGCTCATCCTCTAGTAGATTCCTTGGGAATACACGGTATTCCCTAAGCTTTGGTCCATTCCAGACTGTTCTGTGCCTTGAAGCTTGATGGCCAGCTTGACCAGATGGCCTAGGCTTTATGAAAGAAATGGAGCTGAGTAAAGCAAAAGAGAAGGGCTGATCCCAGAGTGATGTCTTTGAGAGAAGCACCTTATGAGTACAAAGGCCTGCTGCACCCAGAAGTGTGATGTTTTGAAGCAAGGACTTAAACCACAGGCAATAAAATGGTTATGTTAGCTGTGAAAAGCTGTGAGTGCTTTACCACCTCGGCCTTTTTTTTTCCCTTTGGCCATTAAGTAAACAGTAACCTTTTATTTCAGGTCTTTTTTCAAAAACGTAGGCCGGGAAATGTTACCGAGGAGAGGTATTGGTTTATTGATTTCTTTTCATGATCTTTTGTATTCAGCTAATTCTTTAGTTTTTCATTTGATTTCAGAAGGGTTACTTAGGCAAAACAAAGTAAAACTAAAAAGAATCATAATCTGAATGAATGCTTTAAACTAATGGAAAAAACGCGAACACATTCTTCCTAACTAGGAAGTGGCATTTATGAGGTCAGGTAAATCATTGTGGATCCATTCCCTTGGTTTAATTTTTGGGGATTCATTTGGATTAAATGTATTGTGTCTCTTTACTTATATGCAGACATAATACCTTTCTTCTAAACATTTCAGTGTGTATTTCCTTAAAAAAAGGACTTTCTCTAAGGTAACCTCAGCACAGTTACAAAAATCAGGAAACTAACATTGATACATTATCTAATATAGAGACTATTAAAATTTTGAAAAAATTCTGGTTCAGAGTCCAGTCCAGGACCATACGTCACATTTAGCTGTGATTTCTCATTAATGTCCTTTAACCTGGATTCATCGCTCAGTCTTTGTCTTTAATGACCTTGGAAGTTCTGTAGAGTACAAGCCAGTACTTCTGTGGAGTGTCTCTTGATTGTTTTTTGTTTGTTCGTTCATGATTAGATTTGGGATATCTGTTTTCGTCAGGAATGACACAGAAGTACAGTTTGGTCTTCAGTGCATCGTGTCAGGAGGCACGTGATAACCTCTTTGTCACGTCGTTGGTGGTGTTAACTTTGACCGCTTGGTTGCCGTAGACCCTTGCAAAGATACCATTTTTCCCATTGTAATTATTTTGTGTCTTGTGGGGAGATGCTTTGACAGTATGTGAGATGTTGTTCCTCATTAAACTTTCACCCAGTAGTATTAGCATTTCTTGGTGATTCTTTCCTGAATCAGTTATTATTTCCTGAATCAGCTGTAACGGCTACCACATAGTGTCCATATTTATCTTAAGTTGGTGTGTTTCCAGGGAAAAGGTGCTGTGAGAAGGCAAACCTGATGTCGTCTTCCCAGACGGGCCCAGGTCTGTGCTGTTCCCCTGTAGTCACGCATTCTGGTGCACTTGCCGTTGGGGATGACCAGTAGCCTGCTGTTTTACCCTTTTTAGACACTACTTGTTACTTGTATTGTGGCGTGTGTGTAAGACAATACAACCCGTTGTCCCTGGGTTTAGACACCTAGGAATATACATGCCTGCCTTTAGAGGAGAGTTATAGTATTCAGTGGATTTTTTTTCTGAAAAATACATCAGTGTTTTAGTTTGTCTTATTAAATGATTGCTTTGTGAGGATTAATTTTGTCATTTATAGCACACCAGGATAATTAGATTTTTCATATCTTTATTGCAAAATTATACCATCTTTTTTTTTGCATTTATACTCTAGGTGGTTTCAGGTTATCTGATTCGATACTTAACAATAAACTGAAGTTAAGGAGAAATACCTTATTGAAAGGAATATTTTTTCCAATCCTATTTTTAAATGTCATCTGTTAGGATCCGGGGAGTTGGAACAGCAGCTGTTAATATGTGCCTTGTGGCAGCTGGAGGAGCAGATGCGTATTACGAAATGGGAATTCACTGCTGGGATATGGCAGGAGCTGGTATTATTGTTACAGAAGCTGGTGGTGTGCTGACGGATGTAACAGGTACAGTTATGGGACAGTAAAACGTTTTTTTCTTCCCATCTGTTAAAAGTTTGATATAGATTATACTTCAGTTCTTAAAGCAGAAAAAGCAAGCTATAAAATTTCCTGCAAAATGGAAAGAACAAGCATTGGGAGGCAGAGGAACAATAAGAACTCTTGGTAGTGTGGGAATGAATGAACAGTAAGTGACTGAGCCCCTTCAGTTGTGAGTGTCGGGAAATTTCAGGAGAATGTAGAGAAGGTCTAGAAGGTCCCAGAGTCTGAGGCCCTTGCCAAGAACTCGTTAAGTGTTGACCGTTGTGATAGTCGAGGATAGACTTCCTCCGCTGTCACTTTTTGCCTTGGGCTTAGGGTAAATATGTGATTTGAACTGATGGTGAAATTAGTAAAATGAAGGGTGAACTTGGATTAAAAGAATGCATAGGTGCACTGGAATAAAGGCAACAAAGAAATTAGGAAATGGGAAGGAGAATTGTATGAAAGAGATACTCAGAGTAACAAGAATGCACAAAAGAAGGAAAAAAAAGAGATGATTTTTTTCAGACTCGTCTGAGTTGAGACTTCCCAAGGGGTGTTTACTCAAAAACAGCCTTAGAAACGTGGGTATCTACTGCCAAAGCTTCAATGTCGTGGTTCTGTGACAAAGGAGGTTTTTATAAGGTAACTGAAGCACAGAGGTGTTATGATTGACTGTGAGAGTGTTGTACTACCTTTGTATGGATTACTGTGATACAAGATACCATCTTTTTCCGTATTCGATTTGATTTTAGGTGGACCTTTTGATTTGATGTCACGAAGAATAATTGCTGCAAGTAGTAGAACATTAGCTGAAAGGATAGCCAAAGAAATTCAGATAGTACCTTTTCAAAGAGATGATGAAGATTAATTACAACACCTTCAACATAATCACAGTTGCTTTTCCCCAGATTTTCTGATGCATTGCTGATGTTACAAAATTTGGGACATTTGTTTCAAATGTATAATAAATTGTGTAAATTGTTTTTGATGTCCAGGTTAAAAAACTGGAACTTGGTCCGTACTGTACTAAGTATTCGAGAATAGATGAGATACTTGTTTCATTGTTTTAAAAAGTTTTATGTGTAAGAATGTGCTTTGGGAAAAATACCAGGGCAGTAGAATTCATGAGATAGGTGTTGCGTCACCTGAAGTAGCCAATGAGCAGTTTTGAGTTATTAAGTGTGTATGTTTTTTCGGAAATATGAACTTATTATTTATATACGTAGTACTCTTAATTAGAAAGTAAACTTTTTGGGAAGAATCTCTTTAGTCCTCAAAGCCATGTTTAATTAAATTTGTAAGGGTATAACGAGTACTTCTTAGCCCAAGATTTCTCTCTTTGCAGAGAAACTTATTTGTGCTGTTCATTATTGTACAGGTAGCACCTAGCACAGTGCCTGTCCAACAGTAGGCTCTTCCAAAATAAGCATTAAAAGAATGAATATTTTGAAGGCAGCAATTCCTAGTTATAACAGATACATAAAATAATGAGCTCACCGTTCTGAATTTTTGCTTCAGATTTTAAAGCAAAAATTATGTAGTTATCCTTTTTAACATTTCACGTTACCACACCATTTCAAGTTACCATACCTCCAGATATCATTTCTTATGGGCATTTAATGAACACTTAGTGGGCATTTCTGCAATTAATATATTGTCCAAAGCACTGCATTTCAGTATTTATTTGGATTCACCTTAAAGTGCTTGTGCAAGAGAAGAAACGGTTGTGTGATATGCTCTCGTCATGTATCTGATATAATTAGATACAGTGTATCATTTTACTAAATTCAAAATTCATGCTTTAAGATGTTTAGATCAATTTGGTTGTGAATAGGAAACCTAGAACCTGACAGATACACTCTCGTTAATATTGAACTATTTGGTTTCTTCCCAAACTCCTTTTAACTTTGTTTCTGCTAGATTTTATTCAGCCTTTAAATATTCCTTAAAAGTCTTTGGCTTACTAAGTTCAAAAAGAAAATTGTACTAGTTGATATTTTCAAAAGATTAATTTATTGTTTAGCCTTGTCTCGACATGAGAACAGAGTATTAAGTTTTGTTATAGGCTCATGTGAGCCTTATATTTGATAACATAAAACGTGCTTCCAAGATGTTTTCCAGGTAGGGGTTATTTTATTGTCATGAACATCTAATACATTAAATATATGATACTAAGATTGAGATAATTTGTGCGGTTGAATGTGTGCACTTAAAATATGTCATACTGTATTCTGAATCAGGTTGCTTTACAGTTTATTTTAATTAAGAGTATCATGAATAAAATTCTAAATAAATGTAATTATTTACATTATTAAAAGTTTATAGTTTACATTACTTCTAGGGATTTTGTGTTCGATTATAAAAATTTGAAACTTGGAATTGTGATTAAATGTATGTTCTTAATTTTTTGCTTATAGTTTTTCTAACTTTTCTAAAGACTCCCCCCCCCATTAGGTAGCTCTTTGATCTTTTTATTCTAAATAAGGTTGAATGTTTTGTGGCTGAAATTTTTTTAGACATTGAAGAAGGATGATTGACAAGTAGATTATTCAACAATAATTTGAAAATCTTTTTTGAGTAACAGGACTTCTTAGGCTTAACATTTATAATATTCAGGCATGGTATACCATCTTCCGGTATGTGTACCCATCCATACATGTATAAGGTATACACATTTGAACACCCCTTCTGCCCTCACTTTTTTTCCAGCAAGAATGAGCTCATTGTATTATGTACTTAATTGTGAAGTGCTTGATGGCCTCATTTTGAATCACTGGCTATTCTTAGAAATGGTTAGCAGTGTTTGGGTCAGTATTGTGCCTATGATATGTATCAGTGCGACTCAACTGCCCTTCATGTCAGCATCTAGCACGGAGCCCCACCACTTGTCTCTCAGTTTGTCGCACTGTGGTGGCTTGCATGTTGCTGTGATGCTGTGATGCTACAAGGAATACCAGTTAATACAACTGTTATTCAGCCACTACTACCAAAGATGAAGAAATTGAAGATTTTTACCAACTTTGCAGGCAGAAATTGATCAAACATGCAATCAAGATGCATTGAAAATTACTGGTAATTAGAATACAAAAGCTAGAAACAAAGAAGGATCAGTATCTGGAAAACCAGGCCTTGGTGACAGAAACGACACCGGAGAGCACATGAAAAGAGTTTTGCAAGACCAACAACTTCTTCATTGCAAATACCTTTTCTCAGTACCACAAATTGTGATTATCTATGTGGACCTTGCCAGATGGAATACACAGGAATCAAATCGATCACATCTGTGGAAAGAGGATGGAGAAGCATATTATCAGTCAGAACAAGGTGAGGGGCCAACTGTGGAACAGAACATCAGTTGCTTATATGCAAATTCAAGGTGAAGCTGAAGAAAATTAAAACAAGTCCACAAGAGCCAGAGTACGACCTTGAGTATATCCTACCTGAATTTAGAGACCATCTCAAAAATAGATTTGATGCATTGAACACTATACTAATGACTGAAGACCAGACGAATTGTGGGATGACATCAAGGGCATCATACATGAAGAACACAAAAGATCATTAAAAAGACAGGAAAGAAAGAAAAGACCAAAATGGATGTCAGAAGAGACTCTGAAACTTGCTCTTGAAGGTAGAGTAGCTAAAGCAAATGGAAGAAATAAAGAAGTAAAAGAGCTGAAGATTTCAAAGGACTGCTCGAGGAGAAAAAGTATCGCAATGACGTGAAAAGACCTGGAGTTAGAAAACCAAAAGGGAAGACCACACTTGGCATTTCTCAAGCTGGAAGAACTGAAGAAAAAAATTCAGGCCTCAAGTTGCAATATTGAAGGATTCTGCAGACAAAATATTGAATGACACAGGAAGCATAAAAAGAAGATAGCAGGAATGCACAGTGTCATTGTGCAAAACAATTGGTTGACATTTTGCCATTTCATACGCTCAAGAACCAGTGGCACTGAAGGAGGAAGCCCAAGCTGCAGTGAAGACATTGGTGAAAAACAAGGTTTCTGGAATTGACGAAATACCAGTTGACATGTTTCAACAAATGAATGCAATGATGGAAGCGCTCATTCGTCTGTGCCAAGAAATTTGGAAGACAGCTACCTGGCCACCTGAATGGAAGAGATCCATATACGTGCCTATTCCAAAGAAAGGTGATCCAGTGGAATGCAAAGATTATCATTAATATCACAAGCAAGTATAATTTTGCTGGCGATAATTCAAAAACGATTGCAGTAGTACATCGAAAGGGGACTGCCAGAAATCAAGCCAGATTCAGAAGAGGATGTGGAAGGAGAGAGATCATTGCTGATGTTAGAAGGATCTTGGTTGAAAGCAGAGAATACCAGAGAGATGTTTACCTGTGTTTTATTGACTATGCAAAGGCATTGGACAGTAGATCATAAATTATGGATAACATTGCGAAGAATGAGAATTCCAGAACACTTAATTGTGCTCATGAGGAACCTGTACACAGACCAAGAAGCAGTCGTTCAAACAGAACAAGGAGGTACTGCGTGGTTTAAAATCAGGAAAGGTGTGTGTGAGGCTTGTATCCTTTCACCTTCCTTAGTCTGCAGGCTGAGCAGATCATTCGAGAAACTGAACTATATGAAGAACATGACATCAGGATTGGAGGAAGACTCGTTAAAAATCTGTGATAGGCAGATGACACAACCTTGCTTGCTAAAAGTGAAGAGAACTTGAAGCATTTACTGATAAAGATTAAAGATTACAGCCTTCAGTATGGATCATACCTCAGCATAAAACAAAAATCCTCACAACTGGACCAATAAGCAACATCATGATAAATGAAGAAAATACTGACGTTGTCAAGGATTTCGTTTTACTTAGATCCATAATCAATGCCCACGGAAGCAGCAGTCAAGAAGTCAAACGGTGTATTGCGTTGGGCAAATATGCTGCAAAAGACCTTTAAAATGTTAAAAAGCAAAGATGTCCCTTTGAGGACTAAGGTACGCCTGACCCAAGCCATGGTATTTTTAGTAGCCTCATATTCATGCCAAAGCTGGACAATGATTAAGGAAGACTGAAGAAGAATTGGTGCCTTTGAATTATAGTGTTGGCGACGAATATTGAGTGTACCATGGAATGCCAGAAGAACCAACAAATCTGTCTTGGATGAAGTATAGCCAGAATGCTCTTTAGAAGAGAGGATGGCAAAGCTTCATGTTACATAATTTGGACATGTTATCAGAAGGGACTAGTCCCTGGAGAAGGACATCAGACTTGGTAAAGTAGAGGGTCAGCGAAAAAGAGGAAGACCCTCAATGAGATGGACTGACACAGCAGCTGCAGTGATGGGCTCACACATAGCAACGATTGTAAGAATGGCACAGGACCAGGCAGTGTTTCGTTCTGTTGTACGCAGGGTCGCTCTGAGTTGGAACTGACTCGGTGACACCTAACAACAGTATGGAGTCTAAGACATGTTTAAAGAAGGAAAAAAATACTTGTTTCAAACTGTTCCCATTTGTCTTAAGCTTCTAGCCGCATCTTCACCTTGCTTTATGTAGAAAAGATATACATAGTTTTTATTATGTAATTAATACATATGCATAGTTTAAAAATTCAAACAACACTGCAAGGATCGGAGTCAAAAATAGCATTTTCCTATCCTATTCTGTCCCATCCCTGAAGCGATCTCTCCAAACTCTTAGCAATTTCTTTGGATATTTCCCTAAAATACTAGATGATCTATTCTGTTAAATCCTTATTTATTGATTTTACACATTGTCTGTTAACTTGGTCTTAACTCACCCCATGTTCCCTTACTATCTCCTCTCCATCCTTATCTGTCAAATAGTGTCTAAAAATTTTTTTTAAATGAATATTCAGTGCTTACCTTATAACTTTTATTCACTGGCTAGCTAACTAGTACTGTGGTTATATTTTCTTTCAATGGCTGTAATCTTTTGGAAGTAGATAAGCAGACCTTTCTTTTGAGGTACTTGTGGGTGGATTTGAACTGCCAACCTTCCAGTTAGTAGCTGAGTGCTTAACCATTTGTACCATCCAGGGATTCCAGTTGGAGTCACCAGTGGCGTCCTGTTTACAGAAACCAAATGCTTTTGCCTTCAGCTTCCTTGGCCCTTTTGCAGTTCTTTCCTCTTGCTTGTTCTCGGTGTTTTTAAAAGGACACTTTTAACTCTCTTCTTGGTGTTCTTCTCAGTCCCCTTTGTGGATTGTCTTTCTCCAGTGTGATGCCATTCCATAGAGTCACATCCTGGGTCCTCTTGGCTTCTGACTCTGCAGTCACTCTGAGGGGCTCACGCGTGTCCGTGACTTCAACTATCACATCCATTCTACTGACTACCAGATCTTTATCCAGAGCACGTTCTCCTTCTGAATTCTCAGTCTGAATTTCCAGCTCCTTTTGGACACCCCTTCTGAATGTCCTCTGCTTTTATCAGCCACACTAATTTTCCTCTCAGAGACTTTTGCCAGTGTCTCTCTCACTGAATTAGAACCCACTAGAGTTTCCACTTTCCCTCGTCCCTCACATCCTATTGGTCTTACCCGAGTTTTTCGTAAGATGGGCTAGCATTCCTGTCCAGTTCTCCAGCCAGACTGAAACGCTTGCTCTTCCTGGGCTCCTCTGATCCTTGCCCTATGCTACTCCTGTCCAGAGTGCTGGACAGGAAGAGCAGCTCATTTTAAAAATGATAATAAAAGTTACCTCTAAATCACAGGGCTTCCCCTTTCCCTGGGAACTGTCCTCAACAAACAGGGCTGTGTCCACGGTGGCCAGGCCTGTACGCAGTGGGGCTGTGCCTCTGATCAGTCCAGGAGTGGACATCTGACCCAGGGAGGACAAATGAAAGTTTCTAGGGAATTGGGGATTTTGAACTCTGTGACAGAGAGTAGGAATGATTGGGAATAATTTATGAAGTGCCTTAGATCAGCACTGGGTAAGAAGGGTCATACTCCTGACGGAGTGGCTGGCCCTCGGGCTGAGCTGGGCTTCAGGGAAGCTCTGCTGGCAGCAAGCAATCAGTCCACAGGTCCACATGTTGAGGATAAATAGAAATAACACCACACATACCATGCTATGTAATATATTCTAATTCCCAAGACTTAAACCTATCCCATAGGTTGTTTATTCCCTTAAATATCTCATAAATACTATCAATGGTTAGCATTTATCGAGGGCACTGTACCAGGCATCATGCTAAGCACTCGACGTTAATGACTGTATTTGATCCTCACAGTGATCTCCGGAGGGGTTCTGATATATTCTTCATTTTACTGAGGCGCATAGATACCGTCCAATCAGCCCGCTTTTCCTTCTCAAGGAGACAAAGCTAAGTGGTGAAACATAGATAGAGACAGGGTCCACAGGCTTAACCCACCACACAGTGGTTCTCAGCCCGGCTGCGCATGAGAGTCACTGGGAAGCTTTCAAGACACACCAGCGCTTGTGTCCCCCCCCCCAGTGAATCTCATTTACTAGGTCTGGGGGATCACCAGGCCCCCTGGTAGCCCAGTGGTTAAGAGCTCAGCTGCTAACCAAAAGGTCGGCAGTTTGAATCCACCAGCCGCTCCTTGGAAGCCCTATGGGGCAGTTCTACTCTGTCCTATAGGGTCGCTATGAGTCAGAGTGAACTCGACAGCAACGGATTTTCGGCTGAAGTGTTGCCTGGCCGTCTGTATCTTTTTTAAAAGTTCCTCAGGTGATGCTGTTGAACAGCCAGAATTGAGAAGCATTTTGCTACACTGTACTGTGTCCCAGGGAGTCAGTCCCTGGTGGTACAGGTGATTCAAGTGCTCAGGAGCTAACCAAAAGATTGGCGGTTCCAGTTGCCCTAGAGGTGCCGTAGAAGAAAAGCCTGACAATCTACTTCTGAAAAATCAACTATTGAAAACCCTATGGAGCACAGTTCTACCCTGACACACATGGGGCCTCCAGGAGTTGGAACTGACTCCCTGCCGACTGGTTCACTGGTCACTGCTTCTCAGAAGTAATTGATTTCTTAGAAGTAGCCAA